AAAAATTCGTAAACAAGGACGTAGATAAATAAATAAATAAATAACATTTATAACATATTATAAATAACGTGTAGACATGGGAATAAATAACATATAACATTTAGAACGTAAGTGTAGCATAAAATATGCGTACACATATAAATAACATGTAAATAAATAACATATAAATAAATAACAGATAAAATAGGTATGTGGTATATGTTTGTTTATTGGGCCACTGTACATCAAACATATCTTATTCTACCGACAGGGAGCCGTTTCCGTCGGAGAAAGCGTCAAAAGTTTGATAGAAACATGAGTATGTGGAAGGAGTACACATAGATATAATCATGAAGCATGTATGGAGATAGCATTTAACATTTGTTATAATAAAATACGTGTATGGTTTGTGTTTGTATATCAGCATTTAAGAAGCGTTTCCGCGGAAAGTTATGTATCATTGTTGTAGACGTAGGTGTTCTCTGCTTCGTTCTGCATCCTCTTTTTCTGCTATGACTTTACAGGAGAATTCATAGAATGCATGCCATGCATCAGATGAAGCAAGTATGGACGCAATTATTTTTAATAAGGAATCGATATTAGTATTGAATTTTAAAATTTCATCTCTGTATCGAGACCACGCTTGACATTGGAAGATTGTATGCATATTATCATCTAAGAGTGCATCGCAATGATGACACGCGGTGGAACGTTCTTTCCCAATACGTTTGAGGAATTTTCCGAAGCAGCCATGGCCTGTCAACATTTGTGAGAAGGCAAAGCCGATGCGGCCATACTTACGATCGAGCCAGCCGTCAAGATTACAGAAGATTGCATAAGTTACAGAGAGAGGATGCAGTCGTAATGAGCTGAGTTCATCTTTCCATTTCAGTATCATTATAGGATATCGCTCATCTTTTAGTTTACGAACATCTGTGGGTGTTATGTTGCGTCTCTTTTTTAGTTTTTCGACGGCGTAAAACAGATCAGCGTGAACCTCAATTTGAATGTTAATTGGAATGCATCTAGATAGTATAAGGACTGTGTTCAAAGCAACAGTTTTATAGCAGCGCGCAACTCTATTTGCCATTTTCTTTTGTAGATTAAGTAGGTTTCTTTGTAATATAGAGTTTTTAAGGATTGTTTTAGCCCAGATAGGTGCACCATACAGTATAATTGAATTGAATGTGTGGGTATATAAAAAGCGTGTGTGTTCGGAGGGTCCGTTGACATTTGGGAGAATCCTACTGATATTATTCACAAAACTGGAGGCTTTAGCTATCGTTTGTTCGATATGAGTCTCAAATGTTAGGTTTTCGTCAATATATACTCCGAGGTATTTGATATGATCAGAAAAATAAATCTTGGAATTGTCTAATGTAATAAATCTGTTTTCCGATTTAATCTTTACTTTTTTAGGTGTAATACATAAAACAGATGTTTTGTGAGCGGCAACATTCAAACCTATAGATCGTATTTTATTAACTACCATTTGCGCAGCAATAGAGGATTTGACGCGACATCCATTGAGATTGCTATGTGTGATAACAAGGATTGTATCGTCGGCGTAGCCTGTGATCTCAACGTTCACAGGTAGTTTCATCTGAAGTACACAGTCGTAACCGATATTCCACAATGTTGCGGCCAAAGCTGAACCCTGTGGGACACCTGCATAGACTTCTTTAACTATTGGTTGACCATATTTGTCGTAGGTAAGTATTTTCCTGTTCCTGAGGTATTCATATATAATTTTTATTAGATATGTAGGTGTACTTTTATTGAATAGACCCTGTATTATTGCATACCATGGAATCGTGTTGAACGCGTTACTTATATCAACGCTAATAATAATTGACGTTTTGTTATTAAGTTTATTGTTCATAATTTTGTCATATACTCTTGTTAGAGCATGAATAGTGCTTCTACCTTTCCTGAATCCGTATTGAACGTCAGACAACCTATAATCGCTGTTATTAGTATGTGTATCTAAGCGTTGTACAATTATTCTTTCGAAAAGCTTACATATTTCGTCTAATAAACATAAAGGTCTGTACGCAGAGGCCTCGTTCGCAGGTTTGCCTGGTTTTAAAAGTAGAACGATCTTGGCTTTTTTCCACGAGTCGGGAAAGATGGATTTTTTTAGACAGTCTGAAAACAGTGATATAAAAGTAGGTAAGTTGGATTTAACATAGCAGCCTATCACTACGGCAGGGACTCCTGATATACCTGGTGCAGATTTTTTCTTTAACATTCTTTGGATTGCTGTTAAGATTTCTGTATCGTTTACTCTTAAGTTGTCGTTCCAGGTGAAATTTCCAATTTTTATTTTGCGTGTAGGTTGCGTCGGAAACAAGCTATCTAGAACTGAGTTTAGAATGGTAGGTTCTATGATCTCGGTTAATGGTAGGCACTGATTTGAGGCCATCTTCTTCGTGGCCCATCTGTATGGTCGACCCCAAGGGTCATTATCAAGGCTTGATATGGTGTTAAGCCATTGTTTATTCTTTGAGTCGTTGATTGAATGTTTTAGACGTTTTTTGGTAGCTCGGTATAGATTTTCTGCATTCTTGACACTTTCGATAGTTATAGAGCCTTTATTCTGTTTCTTTTTGAGCTTTTGCCACGCTCTCCTATATTTAAGACATTGATCTCTAATAATCTTAATATCTATTGTCCACCAGGGTTGCGGTGGAAGCCTCATTCTTCTGTGCTGTCGAGACATGGAAATATTACATATATTATGTAATGATTTATCTATGTTTTGGATTGTAGTGTGAAGTGATCTTGATCGTGGTAATGAATTACACCAGGAATACGTAAGGACAGCAGCTTCGCACTTTTCAATATTCATAGTCTTCGTATTCCATTTAGGGAATGCGTTATTTCCTAAATGTTTGAGAATAAGTGGAGAGAATGAGAAACCTATGTAGCGGTGGTCTGATAGAGTTTCTATATCTTTCACGCACCAGTTCGATGTTAACATAGATGCAGCTCTGTTGGCAAAAGTGACGTCAACCAGCGATGATCCTTGAGGACGTATGCATGTAGGTTTTGAACCTTTGTTTAGAATATAGAGATTATTTGTAGTAGCCCAATCCTTCAGTATTTTCCCTCTTACACAGTTTCTCACAGAACCCCAGAACGTGCTGTAGGCGTTGAAATCTCCACCTATTATAATCGGTAGCTGGTGAAACTTTTTTACAATTTTAGATATAGACTTCAACCTTTTTTCAAATTTATTTCTATTTTCATTAGGAGAGCAATATACTGAAATGAAAATTGTAGCGTGTATACTTGCCGCGATATAGTTGTCACCTTCATATAGAATGCTTGGGTTTGTGAATGACGAGTTATTTACAACTATTGCAGCCTTATTTTCACGGTATCCAAGCCAACCACTTTTACAAGGGTTGTATGGTTCCGATACGAGAGCAATACTAATATTATTGCTAACAATATAGCTCTCTAGTAATGATTGAGCAGCGACAGCATGATTAATATTAGCTTGCAGGATTTGTAGTGGACAGCTTGCATCTTTATGTCTGGATCTGTGTATATTTTGTAAATTTCGGTTTTGGAGGGGTTGCGCCATGTTGTAAATTAAGATTCTTTATTTTCAGTTACCTCCATTCTGATACCTGTTTTTTCATTGACTGTTGGATTGCTTTGGGGAAGTAACACAGAGTTACGCTCTAGTTTATCCTTTTTGTAGTTAATAAATGTCCTGCATGTGCTTGTGCCCATTTTGTGTTTGTAGTTGAAGTTGTTTTCTTGACAGAGTTTGCATATGGGATTGTTGTTGGTACAGATGTTAGATGGGTGCGCCTCACCACCACATTTGTAGCATAATCCGTCTCTATTGATTTCTGACGTACAGGCGTTGCGAGTATGACCGTAGGACCAGCATTTAAAGCACTGTATCGGTCTGTTTTCAAGGAGTTGGAAATAAGCTTGGGACCATCCAATCGCCAATGTTTTAATGGATAGTAATTTATATGCTTCAGATTCTTCACATTTACACCATACTGTTGCCGAGCCACGTAGGTTTGGACGAACAGGGCCTAGAATAAAGTGTTTATTAGTGCCACATGCAGTTTGGAGAGCCTTTGTGATTTCTTCGTGTGTAGCGGATATGTCGACTTTGGTAATCAGTACCTCTTTGTATTTTTTCGGACATGATACCACAATATCATCTGGTGGAAATAGTGACTTGATCTTCTCCATTAAGATTGGTGCAACTTCGCCTTCCTTGGATTTCGGAAACTCAAGGATGAGTCCTCCGTTTAAGGAAGCGCGAGGGTTTATTGTTTTAATGCCAAGTTCCTGAAGGTTTATGTTTTCTTTGGCTTTCGATAGAACTTGATTTATTTTTGTATTACTATTTCTACTTTCTGTAATATATAGGACTTCTACATTTTTAGGTTTTCTTATAGGTACACTGGGTTTTGTGTTCTGTATCATGGGAGTAACGCTTGGGCTAGCAGGCAGGAGAGGAGTGTTGGTGTTATGGAGGTAAGTATGTGCATCGTTACTAGTAGCTATAATTTTCTTTTTAGATTTTTTCCCAACCACCTTGGCCCACATCTCTGGAGCTCTTGGTTGAGCGTTAGGATTCGGTGAGTGTGTGTTCGTTGGTAGACTAACAACAGAAGAACTTATAGGTGTTATAGTGTTTTGATGAATTGCCATCGATGGAATCGGATTTGTAGTATTATTATTCACGTGTGCCAATATTTCTGTTTTAAGGTCCTTTATCTTGCTGTCAATATTCTCATTAATCGACTGTAGCAGAGATTCAAGGAATAGCTTATTGGGAGATGGAGAGGGATTCTTATTTTGTTCAAGTGAAGTTGCGTGTAAAATGTTTGGTATAGACTCAAGTTTTTCTATGCGCGATTCGAGTTGTTTAACTTTTTCGGTAAGTTTTCTATTAATTTTAATTAAATTTAGGTTTTCTTCTATTAATTTCTTATTGTTTTCAGGTTCTGCAGACATGGGTTCAAGCTCGTGTGATGTGGCCAGCAGAGCATTCTCCACTGTTTTGAGTCTGCTATTGAATACCCCATTTAGGTTTGTAGAGTTACGTCTGACGTAGTTGATTTCATTTGCATATTCCACCAGAGACATTATAATTTTTGATAGTGGTTTCCCATCGTTTGGATCAGATCCTGGGTTGTAGTCCTCGTCATTTTGAGAGAAATCGGTGGAACTATCCGATTCATCGTTGGATCTTTTATGTGCTTTTCTTTTTCCTCTATAACTATCATTTGAGGTATTAGATGTGTTCGTTACAGTTGAATTGTCTTTGTTGTTTTTGTTGGATTGGCGTTTACGTTTCGGATATTCTAGGGTAGCGGAGTATTGGGAAGAAGTTTGAGGAGGAGGATTTGTGTTGGGGTTATCCTGCTGAGCCGTAGGAGGTGTGCGTTTAAGAGTGTGAGAAGGAGTATGAGATACGTTGTAGCCTTGTTGATTATCAGGAAGACTGATATCATTTTTACTCATAGGTGTACGAGTAGCGTGGAGAACGTCGTCTATAATAATATCTGCGTCTATGACTGTACTTTCACTTGAAGTTCTAGTGATAAAGGAAGATAAACTTGGATTATCTAAGGTACTGTTTAGATTTTTGTTAAGCGTAGATCTTAAACTGTTTCTGGTTTGTTTCTTATTTTGAGCCATTCTTTGTTGTGTTGATACCGCCTGTGAGTAAAGGGGCGGGCAGTGAGTAGGGGGGTACACCCATAGGAACCTCAACTATTCGACAGTACTCCATCGACCCTACTCTTACTCTTTACTCCCCCCAGTGTTTGACGGGGGAGAGCTCGCCCGGGGCGACTGGGGCTCCGATACCCCAGTTCAGTACTCATTCCCTGGCCAGGGCCCGAAGGGGGTATTTCCAGACGTTACCGTGCCCGTGGTGTATCAGCAGTGTTGCCACACATCAGCCTTCGGCGTGCACCAGTGAAACGGCTGGTGCACGTCTTGGGCACTCCCAACACCACGGACACGGCCGCCAGCCACATACAATCATTCATTCATACATTCATACATTAGAAGAGGAGTGGGAAAAGGTAAGTATAGTAGGTAGATTATAGTGAGCGAGGTAGGAACATTGGTAGGTAAATATTTGGAAACTATGATGTTAAAAATGTATTATGGCAGTTGAAGAGAGGTAAGTATGCAGATTGTGGAGGACATGTATCATATATGAGGTGCAATGGAGATGTAGGATGTGGTGACGGGTGAGCGTGAGGTAAGTATAAAGGTGAGTATGCAGTCTATTGGGGGTAATGACCAGTTGAGTGGAATTTAACACTTTTTTCAGGTAGATATGGTAATTATGAGGAGGTAGGAAATATGGGATGGAGAGGATAGAAGGGATATAAGGTAAAGGGAATTCAATGTTTATAGCGTAGAGTTTCAACGTTTAAGTTTTATTGTATTATATGACAGGTTTATTTGTCATATTTGTCATAGTTGTCATAATATATAGAACTTATATCATGCAGGTTTTTTACAATAAAGAGTGTTGTATCATAATATTCCATCTTTATTTGTTATCGATCCGCGTTTATTTATAGGTATTAAGAAATAAATGCGTATATAAGAAGAGTTACAAAGGACTCGTTTCAATTGTTCTTACATTAAAGTTTAAAACAATATAGGAAGTACTTCTGGTAATGATAGTGATAATTCAGCGTAAGTTAATGTATACCGTTATCAATTATTGATAGGTATATTGTATCATTTGTTCTACTATGTTCGTTTGTTTGTGTTCGGCCGGATGAATTCCTGGTTTGCAAGATATTCATGGGAGTGTGTTATTGGTTTGAGATTTCAAGATTGTAGGCTTGATGCACCTCATTCTCTCTCTCAGTCAATCTCGGCATGCACACATTAGGTTGGGGTTCTTGTTTTGTTTATTTAATATTGAGAGTTCAAAAGTTAATTTATATAAAGAGCTAATGGAGCTGCCTGTCAGAATAGTACAGGTTATATTGGATTACAGTAAGTACCACTTACATCTGTCACGCGCATTGTAGATCCATGGGTAGTAGGATTAGTTAGCTGTTGGATAGCATCAGGATGCATTATTTGAATTAACCAATAGAACATTGCATCGCATGCATGTTTTCCATTGTAAATATCATTGTAAATATCATTGTATCTGTTCTTGTAGATCGCTATTGTATATTGGAGCGTGCATATTTGCAGAAGGTGGCCTCAAACTATTAACATAATCATACTGTAGTTATTTATGTAATTTTAGTTTATTTAATATTTATAAATTATTATAAATTCTTATGTGTTCCTAACCTTGTTGTGGTTATTATAGAGTCTTAATTATTTATGGAAACGCTGCTACTAGTAGTCTGCCTTATGCTTACTTATTATAGTTTAGTTTACTTACGCATGTAAGTTATGCTTCTTGTTTCCTGTAGATTACGGTAAAATCCAGATAATACACTGGCTAACTTTCGCATTATAGCGATATTTGTTTGATGCACTTTAGATTTAGGAAACTTTCCACTGGCGTCTCGCATGGGTTATATACATATTCCAAGAAACTGAATTTTCAGTTACATCTAATGTAAGTTTATATATTAGCGTACGGATTGACCGACACTCGTCTCATAGTCACTTGACTATATCTTGTTACGCGTTGACAGTTTAGGCTGTAAGAATTATTGTATATTATATAATCTGTCGGAAATAGTTTATGTTGTATAAGGTAACGAGCAGTGCACTTACATATACCATGCGCATTACGAAGCCTTGAACAGGTAGAGGACAGTTAAAATATTAGTTATAAAGTAGATAGTGTACATTGGAGTATGAGCATTTGCACAAGGAGACATCCAACTATTAAAATAGTTAC